GGGGGGGGGGGGGGGGGGGGGTCGCCAGTGTATTAGTGCGCCATAAGAAAACCACGACGGCGCACGCACACTACTACAAAATAGTGAAAAGTGGGGAACCGTGATCCACGGCAATGGGTTTTAGCCCATCATCGCCATTTAACGACTTCACTACTGAATTATAGAATATCTTCTGTTGAATATTTTAATGGAATTGGCCAAAGACAACTAGAAATATCAATAGAAATCCAATAGAATTGTCTAGCGAATTCGCTAGGTTTTTATATGAAACTTGTTCATACCTGGTAATTGGGTCAGTACATTTAAATTTAGGGGACAACGTGAATATCGTCTAATTAGAATGGGAGGGCCACAATTTTTGTAGACATGGTCCTAATGCAAAGCATTGCATGTGTAAAAAAAATTAAAGGGACTCTATTGTGTGTGATACGTTACTTCGTCGAGAAAATGTAGTATTCCTATGTTAATTTTCAAAGATATGAACAAAATAATCCCCAACTCCATTCGGTACAGATTCCGTTTTACTATTCCCTCACTGAATAAAATAACACCAGTTAATTAATGAATACTCTGAAAAACTATTCGCTTCCTCCGGAAAATTTCAATATTTTCCTCCTCAATAATCACGAAAAAAAGCCCAGGGGGAAATTGAAATGTATGCAGAAGAGAAGATAAACTGAATGCATAAAAAAATGAATACAAAATGAGGAAAAAAAACGGAAAAAAGTAAGTGAAAAACTTTAGGATTAAAAAATACCAGCGATCCGTACACTAGTCATTAATTCTCGAGGCGTGGAAATTCGTTGGCAGTTGGAAATATATACTCCACCCGCCCTTCCCCACGACGCCAACAACCGTAAACGCATATTCCCGCGAATCCATATACAAACACATCGAAAAATCCTTAACACCTTTTTCTACCTCCACTTATTCATTCTCAGCACGTGAAATGAAGCCATAACCTGGGTTTGTACATGTACCCATAGGGCGTAAAGTTTATGAGAGTTGGCCTGGGACGAATGTACTTCTTCAGTGATAAATTTTCGGCTCTCGATAAAGGTTGACTTCAGTGTTTGGGCCTACGTGCGAGAGAACTAGGGGAAAAGGGAATTTTAGTAGACATTCACTGGGTGGAGAGGAGTTAAGAACTGGAAATAAAAAATATCTGAGGCTGCGAGAGGTCGTAAGGAGCTGAGGATGAAGGAGTCATAGAGATTTGTGAAATGATAAGGTGAGAGGGAAGAGAGGAATTGTTCATTAGACCATTTTTACGACTCTATGATCATAATCATGAAGACAGGATACTTATTTAATGGAATGAGTGAACGTATATTTGAGCTAAAATTGAATTTTTAAAAAATATATCGTTATGGGAGCTAAGTTACTCTATATCTTCATGCGACATTCATCCGATCACAACTAACTCACTCTTCCGTCGCTCATTGGGGCAAATACTCTTTTCGTTGTCTATTTCAAATATATCACGCGCCGAAAAATTTCCATTCTATTGGATTTCTGTTGAACTTTCTATTAGTTTTTGGTTATTTCTATTAGTTAGAATATTCAATAGAAACAGACAATAGAATTCAATTTTTTTATATAACTTATTCTCTTCAGGTATTTTCTATAGAATTTCCTCGGTTCAAATTTTCTCTTTCTTTTCCTCTTAGAAAAAAAATCAAACAAAAAAACGTGGAAAATTTGAGCCGACGGAATTCTATAGACAATATCTCAGTAGAATAAGCTGTATAGAAAAATCGAATTCTTTTTACCTTCTTTACAGAATATTCGCTATGGAACATTTCAATAGAAGCGGCAAAAGAATAATAGAATATTTAATAGAAATACAATAGAATTATCTAAAAAATTCGCTAGGCTCTTCTATTAAAATTTGTCGTCCGTGATTCTATCACTCGCCCTTATTCTCAACCAATACACGTTTGTTCCAAAAAATGAACTCAGTTTTCGTCACACAGGCCACACTCGTTCAGCCAAGAAACTCTCAAAAACTAAACACGACCGTAATAAAACTTCAAGTCATTTGTTGGTAGAGATGGCTGTTTTAATATCAGTAGCGGAGTGGTAAAACGGTTTAAAGTAGCTCTACCCTTACGATAAATTCAAAGATTATTGAAAACTGCAAAAAAATTGCAGAAAACTCGATTGAATTCGGAATTCTATTTTTTTCCTCAATTTAGTTGTCGTTTTGGTTTTTCAAAGAAGAGATGTTTAAAAATCAGGATTTAACCCAGTGTCTTATGTGAAAATCAACATTTCCATTGTAATCAAAGATTAAAATCTGAATTTTTTTCATTAGATGTGAAAAAATCAAGAATTTTTTTGACACCTCACAAAAAATAATCCACCGTTTTGCAAATAAGTTTTATTATTTATTTATAAGAGGGAAATGTTTGAAAAAATATCAATATTTTGCGAAATTTAATTTAGATAATACTGACTGGGTATGAATTTGTTCAAATTTTTTCCATGCAATTTAGATGAAAAATTTAAAAACTGAAAATATCCCAAAGTACAGCATAGCCCGGCCGAAGGGTAGAGCTATACTTTAAATCGAATTCAATCACACTGAGAGGAATTTCAATGGTAATTTCAGGTTCAAGGGAATTGTCAAAAAAAAATAGTTTCGGTACCACAATAAATATTGTAGATTCAACTATTATATTAAAGTGAAAATTACATCATAATGTTGATGACACGATTTGACATAGTAAATGGAACGATGAATCCTAATTTAATCAACAAAGTTTATTGTTACTGTAAATATAATTTCTTTGACAATTCCCTTGTAGTTAAAATCACCACTGAAATTTTTCTCAGTGCATGCTCTGCCTATTTTTTTCAATATTGTAATTGCCAAAGTGGAATGGGAATTACGCATTCAAGACACAAAAATTTATGCCTAAAAATCCTCCGATAATGCAAGTCAGCCCTCAATGAAAAACCATCCACTGATCCTCCGTTCATCATAAAATAATGTCTCCCACCCTCATCATTTTCCGAGAGAAGAAACGATTGTAGCATCGAGTGACATTCAGTATCAATCGTACTTCTATGAATTCCACTTTGATCGACTTTACGGTTGAATTGATTTAATTCAATGGGTCCTCTTCCAGACCTCTCCCCCGATCCATCAGCTCCCCCAAAAGCCAAGTGGAACGACTCGAAACGTTATTCAGAATTGCTCAACAAAAGAGGGACAATAAATTCACAGGCGATATTGAACGCGAATAAATAGAAATGAGAGACTCACATACGACGTCGAGGATCCATGAAGTTTCTAGGTAGAGGCCTGTCACGTTTGGATTTTCGGCTCTGCATGTCACCGATTTGCGATTGTCGTCGACACTCGGTGAAAATTCCACCCTGCTGATTGTACGATTCTGACTTCTTTCCTCCTGGAAAAAAAAAATGTATTATTCATCATTCCATATCAAATTATGCTATTATATTAAATTTATAATCACGTACGAAAAAATTTCATGGAAAAACTTAGCGAATTGGTCAGACAATGCTATTGCATTTCTGTTGAACTTTCTACTAGTTTTCGGTTATTTCTATTAGTTAACATATTCAATAGAAACTGTTCGTATCATTTTCGTCATCAGCATCACCCTTATTATCTGAATCTGAATTTGCATTCCTGCAAGTGCGAAATAGTTATTTGTGTCACAAGGCTCGTAAGTGGAGGTTTGCGATGAGTGCTGCTAACTCACACGAATCGCAAACCGACACTACGGACCGAGTGGCACATACTATTTTTTGTCATGAATGCCCGGGGGTGTGGGGGGGGG